TTCCAGATCACTGCAATAAAGTGAATATCTCAAGTGAGTCACATGAATTTTTTGGTTTCCAATTGCATATACTGTAAATTTCTTGGTTTCCCAGTTTATACTGTAGTCTATTACGTGTGCAACATATTATGTCTAAAAAATGTACATATCATAATTTAGAAAATACTTTTCTGTTAAAGCAAAATGCTAACCACTATCTGAGTCTTCAGTGAGTTGGGATCGTTTTACTGGTGGAAGGTCTTGCCTCATTATCAATGGCTGCTGACTGATCTGGTCAGGTGGTGGTTGAGGTGGCTGTGGCTGTGGCATTTTCTTAAAATAAGACTACAGTGAAGTTTGATGCATCGATAGACTCTTTTCTTTCACAAACAATTTCTTTATAGCATGCAATCTTGTTGGTAGCATTTTACCCACAATAAAACTTCTTTAAAATTTGGAGTCAATCCTCCCAAACCCTGTTGCTGCTTTATCAACTAAGTGTATGTAATATTTTAAATCCTGTGTTATCGTTTCAATGGTCTTCACAATATCTTCTCCAGAAGTAGATTCCATCTCAACAAACCACTTTGCTTGCTCATCTAAAAGCAGCTCCTCATCTATTAAAGTTTTATGATGAGATTGCAGCAATTCAGTCACATCTTCAGGCTCCACTTCTAATTCTAGTTCTCTTGCTATTTCCATGACACCTGCAGTTACTTCCTCCACTGAAGTCTTAAACCCCTCAAAGTCATTTATGAGGGTTGGAATCAACTTCTTCCAGACTCCTGTTAATGATGATATTTTGATCTCTTCCTATGAATCATAGGTGTTCTCGATGACATCGAAAATTCATCTAAAATGGTGAATCTTTGTCAGAAGGTTTTCAATTTACCTTGCCCAGATCCACCACAGGAATCACTGTCTATGGCAGCTATGGCTTCACAAAATGTATTTCTTAATAAAACTTGAAATTCAGAATTACTCTTTGACCCATGGACTGCAGAATGGGTGTTGTGTTAGCAGGCATGAAGACATCATTAATCTCCTTGTACATCCCATCAGAGCTCTTAGATGACCAGGTAAATTGTCAGTGAACACTACTATTTTGATAGGAATCTTTTTTTCTAAGCAGTTTGTCTCAACAGTGAGCTTAAAATATTCAGGGAACCATATTGTAAGCAGTTGTGCTATCATCCAGGCTTTGTTGTTTTATTTTTAGAGCACAGGCAGAGAAGATTTAGCATAATTCTTAAGGGCCCTTGGATTCTTGGAGTGGTAAATGAACATTGGTTTCATCTCAAAGTCACCAGGTGCATTAGCCCCTAACTAGAGAGTCAGCCTGTCCTTTGAAGCTTTGAAGCCAGGCATTGACTTCTCCTCTCTAGCTGTTAATGTCCAAGGAGCCATCATCTTCCAATAGAAGGTTCTTCCTCCTCCATTGAAAATCTGTTGTTTAGTCTAGCCACCTTCATTAATTATTTTAGCAAGATCTGGATAATTTACTGCTTCACCTTGCACTTTTGTGTTACGGAAATGGCTTTTCCCCATAAACTTCGTGAACCAACCTCTGGTAGTTTCAAACTTTTCTTTTGCAGTTTTCTCACCTCTCCCAGCCTTCATGGAATTGAATTGAGAAAGGGCCTTGCTCTAGATTAGGTTTTGGCTTAAGGGAATGTTGTGGCTGGTTTGATCTATCTAGACCAGTGGTCGCCAACCTTTCGGACCTAACGGACCACCAGTGGTCTGTGGACCACCAGTTGGTGACCGCTGATCTAGACTATTAAAACTTTCTCCACATCATCTATAAGGCTGTTTTAATTTCTTATAATTTGTGTGTTCCACTGGAGTAGCATTTTTAATTTTTTCAAGAACTTTTCCTTTGAATTCACAACTTGGCTAACTGGTGCAAGAGGCCTATCTTTAGGACTGTTTCAGTATTGTCATTCCTTCCTCACTAAGCTTAATCATATATAGCTTTTCACTTAAAGTGAGAGATGTATAATTCTTCCTTTCCCTGGAACACTCAGAGAACATTGTAGGGTAATTAGTTGGCTGCTTAATTTCAATATTGTTGTGTGTCACAGAATAGGAAGGTCCAAGGAAAGAGTATGAGATGGGAGAATGGCTTGTCAATGGAGCAGTCAGAACACACACAACATTTATTAATAAAGTTCACCATCTTATATTGGTATGATTTGTGGCACCCTAAAACAATTACAATAGTAACATCAGACATCACTGATCATAGATTACTGTAGCAAATATAATCATAATGAAAAAGTTTAAAATATTACAAGAATTATCAAAATGTAGTGACACAGAGACACCAAATCAGCACATGCTATTGGAAAAATGGCACTGTTAGACTTGCTGGATGCCAGGTTGCCAGAAACCTTCAGTTGTTAAAAAAACAAAAACAAAAAAAAACACCAAAAACAGTATCTGCAAAGCACAGTAAAGCAAGGTGCAATAAAACGAGTATGCCTATAAAGACGTAGCAATTTGTTTATCTGTCCACTGTCAGTTACCACCTATCAGATCATTATGCAAACTATTTATTCATTTCTTTCTTTCAGCTCAAAGCTCAGAATGTCATGCCTTTTTAATCATTTTATTAATCATTATATACCTCCAAATAATTGGTGAGTGAATCTGAAAATAGCTGTCTTCATTAAAATAAAATAAAAACACACACACAATGATCCGTGAATTCCTTCTTAAATGACATAATATAGGGTGTCCCCCAAAAATGTATACACACACTTTGAATAATTATAAAAGCAGTGTTTATTAAAATACATTTCATTTTCAGAATTGAGCTAGCATCTGTTAGAGTGTGTATACACTTTTTGGGACACCCTGTGTATAAATAAAACATAAATATAAATTCCCCAACACTGTCAAAATCCACACTCACCCTACCCACCTGTAGATGGAGGGAATGAGGTCTTGGGAATATTGCCCAATTTTTCTCTTCTCGTTCTCTTTCCAAATGCATGCCAGTTGCCCTAAGGCTTCAGAAGAACCCTGAAGGCAGCATCTCACTTTGTGTAGGAAGGAGAATTAGTATAGCTGCAAGGTGATCCCAACTTCTTGCCATTCTGTTGATTTTGAATGCTCATTCACTCCAGATCCCTGCTGAGAGCTGAAACATTGCTTCTGCAAGATGGCATTTATTTTAGGTACAGTTTCATTCTTCAGATGTGCAGCTTCACAGCACTGCTATTGTAAATTATAGGGAAAATATGGAGAAAGTTAACATGGTTGGCTTAAAGATGTTTGACATCTTTTTCTGGTGATTTCTGTTTTATTTCTTATTGTATTTAAATTGGCTTACTCATTAAATTTATGAGACAATAATTGACATACATCACTGTATAAGTTTAAGTTGTACAGTATAATGATTTGACTTATATATACTGTTCCTTGGAATGAGAGTTCTTAGGGGTTACTTTCTTTTTAATCCTCACCTGAAGACACGTTTATTGACTTTTTCAGAGAGAGAGAAATAAAAACACCAATGTGTGAGAGAGAAACATCCATTGGCTGCCTTCCACATGCGCCTGACTGGGGGTCGAACCCACAATCTAGGTATGTGCCCTGACCAGGAATTAAACCTGTGACTTTTAGGTGCATCGGATGATGCTCCAATCAACTGAGCCACACCGGCCAGGGCAGGAGTTACTTTCTTAGCAGCTTTCATATATACCATACATCAGTGTAAACCAGTGATTCCCAAAGTGGGTGCTACCGCCCCCTGGTGGGCGTTGCAGCGATCCAGGGGGGCGGTGATGGCCACAGGTGCATTTGTTTTAACTTTTTTTGTATTACCTTTCTATTCTGAGTTCAATAAATAGTTTCATAATTTCAAACTTTAATGTTTCTAATTTACACCTTTCTTTACTATATTTTATGAAAGAGGTAGAAACATTAATACATATATCTTTCTGTTTAATTGCTATTAAAATTAAAAAAAAAATTAATTTCCAGGGGGCGCTGAGTAATATTTTTTCTGGAAAGGGGGCGGTAAGCCAAATAAGTTTGGGAACCACTGGTGTAAACTACCAGTAGTAATCAGTTGTACAAACATCCATAGTACTTATTTATCTGAAAGTTTGTACCTTTTGACCACCTTCATCCAAATTCCCTACCCCATCTCTTGCCTCTAATAACCATGAATCTGATCTCTTCTTCTGTGAATTTGGGTTCCTCTCTCTCTTTTTTAGACTCCACATATAAGTGCAATCATAATTTATCTTTTTCTTAATTATTTTACTTAGCATCATTTCATCCTTGTTGTTGCAAATGGCATGATTTTCTTATTTTTTATGGCAGAATAATATTTTGTAACTTCTTTATCTATTCATTCACTGATGGACACTTAAGTTGTTTCCATGTCGTGGCTATTGCAAATAATGCTGTTATAAACATGGTGGGGGTGCAGATAACTGTTCACAATGGTGTTTTCATTTCCTTTGGATATATTCTTAGAAGTGGAATTGCTGAATCACATGGCAGTTCTAATTTTAATTTGTTTTAGGAACCTCTATACTAGTGGCTATATTAGTTTACATTCAAACCAACAGTACACAAGAGTTCCCTTTTCTCCACATCCTTACCAGCATTTGTTATCTCTAAATTTATTCTTTTTATAGATTTGTATATGCTTCTTTTCCTGACACATAGATTTAATAATTTTTTAAAGAAAAAAATAAATACTTGGCCTGACAAAGGAAATTTTTAAAATTATCATCTTATTATATACCTTCACAAAAGCATAAAACAAATTGTGTTCATTAGCAAGAATAAAATTACATTAAATCAACTCTGGTGTTGGAACCAAAGATGTAGAGTTTCCGTACCCATCTGTCTTTATATAGTATTAAGCATGCTGTTGGCACTTAGTAAATATGTATGGGTTAAATCATTTAATAATAGGATGTGCTGCTTCCATTGACCATAGACCTTAGAAAAGACTTTTGTGTAACAGTGTTTTCTTCATCTCCTGGGTTTGTCCACAGTAAACAGATCCGAGCTATGCTAGGCCAGTTCAGCCAGGCCGAAGGCTTATTAATGAAAGCTGGAGTGCAGCCAGGAACGCTGGATGGAGTTCTTTTCGATCTTGGATGTTCCTCCATGCAATTTGATGCTCCTGAAAGAGGTTTTTCCCTTCGGAATGATGGCCCTTTGGACATGAGAATGGATGGTGGCAGGTGAGTATCAATAAAGCATTTCTCCACACAACAAGAAATCGATTTCTCAAAAGCACTCTGAATTTAATTTCCCTTTAAGACTGCAGAATTCCCATTACACGCCATACCCAACACTATCCATATATAATAAATCAGTTTTGTTTGATACTCATTAAAGCTTTCAGTGTTTCTCTAGATTTGGGATTCTGAAAGAAAAACCATTGCTGTCTACACAAACTAGTGAGGAGGATAACTTTCACACTGATTATCTTTTTTTATGGACAGTCGTGCTTTGATATGACCTTTTAACAGAGATTGTGACCCATACTTGTCAGAACCTTTTTGTTCTGAGTCTTAAACCTTCTTTTGCTCAAGTTGGCATTCATAGAATGGAGAATGTGATCATAAAAGAAAATAATAAAAATCTTTTAAAAACCAGTGACTAATAGTGAAGGTCAAATATTTTTTCATGTTTGCAGATTGAGGTTTAGCAGAGATACTAAAATCTCAAGCAAATTTCGGCTGTTCTTGATGTCTTGCTAAGGAGGATGCCTTCTGAAATACAATGAACAAAGCTTCTAGTTAATAGTAGTAAACCCCCATATTGTTAATGTAAAGATTTGTCAGCAAATTTTAGTGTGAGAATCAGGGTTCCCGAGATTCTCCCCTTAAGAACATGAAAATAAGATTGCCTTTGAGAAACTCTTAATATGTAATGGATGAGATTTAGAGTTGAGAAAATATCTTAAAAAGCAGGTAGACTTCCATTGAGATAGCATAGATTGTAACTTAGCCACAAATATTAACAGATCTGGAGAAAGTATGTGCTGTTCAGAAAGTGGGAGTTGATTCACATGAATTTATAGAAAAAGAAGAGTCAGAGATGTAAACAAGTGCATTGCTAATCCAAGTGGTGCTATGGGAGAGGGGAAGTGGTCAGTCAAATCATGGAGGCTGGTATGTCCCTGTGTTGAATGTGGATGCAACAGGCTTTCTTAACTTGTTGCCATTGAACATTAGAATCTTACAGCATAGTTTGGTTTGTGCTATCCCAATTTCAACAACAGCTTTTAGATCATAATAAGGTTTCATGCAGCAGAAAGAAATTAGCAGATTCAAGGACCTGTGGGTATAGCCCTGTTGTCAGGTGTAGTCTTCACTATAAGGCAATAAATAAATTCACACTTAGGTTAATATTTTCTTTGAAAGTCCGTGACCTCTGGAGGACTGATGAAATCCCTTAACCTATTAAGTTGGGGTGGGGAACAGATTCTGTATCTTGACTTTTTGTTGTTATTGTTTTTGTTAATCCGCACTTGAGGATATTTTTCCATTTTTTTAGGGAGAGTAGAAGAGAGAGGGAAAGACAGAGAGAAACATCGATGTGAGAGAAACACATCGATTGGTTGCCTCCTGCAGGAGTCCTGACCAGGGCCTGGGCCTGGGAGGAGCCTGTAACCAAGGTATGTGTCCTTAACCTTTGGTCCACAGGCCAACGCTCTATCCACTGATTCAAACCAGCTAGGGCTGTATCTTGACTTCTACACCATATAAATGCCTATTCTGAAGCCTCCTAGAAGCCCTCTGGCTTTCAGCGTGTTCCCCCTTTGGCCTTGTACTAACATTAGATAAAATAAAATTATGCCTATTATCCACTGAACTATATTGAAGAAAAAACATTTTTTATTTTCATACTTGAAAGTAGAAAGGTATTGTCAAAAATTGCTAAGTACATCCATACTAATTTTAGAACTGTCCGATTTGAGGTGAAATTCATACTATGGAATCTGAATTTATCATCGTTCACAAGGTTCATTCTAATACTCAGTGGTTTGGGCAGTTGAATTTACAACTAGGTAAGATCTAGCAGGGATTGTGTCGATTATGCCAAAAATGATGATTGGCAAATCCAGGAATGGGAAAAATCCAAGGGACATGGACAGGCATTGAGCTTCCCTATGGGCTGTTATACTATGTGTTTATGATCATATGCACCCTTAACTCTCTCAATAATTCTATGAGGTAAGCATTGTTACTTTCATTCACAGGTTAGAAATTGAGGAAATTGAGGCTCCACTATATTAACAAGCTTACCCAATAGTAAAGCCAGGATTCTAATCTAGGCCAGTTTGACTCTAAAGACCAAATCTTTATCCTTAAAGCTATTATTGAAGGAGCAAAGCCTATTGATATAGAAACCAGACTACCATGTAGGATGTTCATTGCTCTGGGGGTGCCATGCATCCAGGAAACAAAAAAAGATTTGAGAGAGGGAGAGAGAGAGAGAGATGGAGATGGAGATGGAGATGGAGATGGAGATGATGGCAAAATAGGGGACAAGCCAAGGATAAAAAAATTTTCTCCTGGAGGACCTAGGCATTCTAACGAGGTGCAATGAAGTATATTTAAGGAAGGATTTAATTTGATCCTCAGTTCTTAAAGATGTCATATCTTTGTTAAATTTCTCACAATGTGGTACCAACAATCAATCCAACATATTAACTACACGAGTAGTAACTATACTATTAGCAAAGCTATCTTTCTAATAAGTAAGGTCTCGGTTAACTCATCACTTAGAATTCCTGGATCCATTTTACTAAAGTAAGGTATGCTGGCATGGTCTGACAAAGTGAATTCTGTTTCCTGTTACTATGACTTATTTGGGCACAGTTTGATATTTCTTTGTCTTCTTCACCTGAAATTACCATCTAGGCTTGTTTAGTACTGTTTGCTGATTACCAAGTGTTATCCCATGATGTCTTTTGTCCTGGAAGTAGAAGCCAGTATTGTTAAATATTTGAAATAATACACATTATTATCATTAACATTGTTCTAGTTTTTGTGAGGGAGGCTGACCAACAGTATCTTCTTGTACAGTAGTCCTCCTTATCCCTGGTTTCACTTTCTCCCCTTTCAGTTACCTGAGGTCAACCATGGCCTGAAACTATTAATTGGAAAACACCAGAAATAAGCAATTCATAAGCTTTAAATTGCGCACCATTCTGCAGAGCAAGATGAAATCTTGTGGAATCCCACACTCTCTTGCCTGGGATGTGAATCATTCCTTTGTCCAGCATATCTATGCTATATATGCTAACCACTCATTAGGTGCTTAGTAGCCATCTGGGTTATCAGATCAATTATAGTGGTATCACAGTGCTTGTGTTCAAGTAACTTTTATTTTACTTAATAATGACCCCAAAGTACAAGAGTAGTGATGCTGGTAATTCACATACACCAAAGGTGCAATAGAGTGTATGTATGTATGTATGTATGTATGTATGTATGTATGTATAGGAAAAAACATAGTATGTATAGGACTTGGTTCTATCGTGGTTTCAAGTTTCTGGTGGGGTCTTGGATGTATTCCCTGGGATAAGGTGGGACTCCTGTAATGATTTTCTAAGTCAGTTTGTACTCCAATAATATAAGTAGTTGGTTATTGGACAGTCTCGGGTTTATTTAAGTTCCTGAGATTGAGACTCATTTAAGTATCAGTTAGTACCCTTGTTACTTCTATACAGAAAAAATGTTCAAGCAACAATTTAAGTTTTGAACAAACTAAATCCAAATATTTCTGCTATTTTAGTTTAGGGAAAATCTGCATGAGCAGTCACTTCTTTGTGAATTAAAGGTTAGTAAACTATTTTAATTTCCTGCTCCCTTGACCTTGATGAACCTCACACACAGAGTCCCCACTTGCTCTAATGACGGAAAGCTTATTTTATCCCTGTAAGATTTCAGTCTTTGACTTTAAAAACCTCAGAAGCTCTCTTAGCCTATGTTTGTATGCCTGACTTTATGTCTCAGTACTCTGAAGTTTCACCTCTTGTCAATGAAACTGACGTCAATGAACTAATTGGTTCTTCTTGTGCGCAGGTACCCTGACATGCCCACCGCAGCTGATGTTGTGAACGCCTTAGATCAACAGGCACTTGCATCCATCCTGAGAACATACGGGGAGGAGAGGCATGCCAAGAAAATCGCTTCAGCAATCGTTCAGGCACGCAGCATCTACCCCATCACCAGAACCCAGCAGCTTGCCAGCATCGTCGCAGGTACCCTCATTAATTCTGAACAGTGTCTGAGAGGGAGAAAAAAAAAGAATATATATATATTAATCCCCCAAACTCCCAAAGGGTTTCATTTGTACTTAAAATCATGCAGGAGTGAATCTTGCCTAAAATCTTTGGTTTTGCAAGCTTCCTCCCCACCCCCAACACCTCTCCCCCACACACAATTTTAAAATATACTGTAGTTTGCTGATTAGTTTAATAATAGATTTTTTTACATGAGATAATTTATCATTTGTGCCTACCAAGGTGAAGCGTGGAATAACAAGAGCAAAAAAATTCCTTGATTCATCATAGTGCTTGATAAGCATCCTGTATAAGATCTGACATTACCTTCAGTTTCACATTTCTGCATTTTAATATTTTGGGCGAAAGGAGAATTGCATTGCCCAACTGCTAAAATAAAATCCAGTGACTCATACATCTATTCTAAACACCCGGCTAACAAAGGGTATGTGATGTATAGGTTATTCCACTTGGTGAATGCTAAACTAAATCAGCCTGAGGGGCTTATTGAAACATTTCATCTTTTTTTGCTGTTTGCCACCATAAACCTCTTGAACCTAAGTCTAGCTAGGAGGCGCTTTATTATAGCCTTTCTGTTTGAAGCCAAAGTTGTCTCACAGCTGTATTTCATGATGAAAGTTTCCCTAGACAAAAATACAACTTCTGCAGTTGTTATTTCACAGAATTCCAGTGGTAAATTATTTGTCTTTTTGGACCTTCTGAAGCCATACATCTTTTTTATTTACCAAATGTATTAAGATTTCTTTTCAGTGGTTTCTCTTAAGTTAATTAAATAGCTAAAGACATAGGAAAAAGCTTATAGAAAGCTCCTAGTATTGGTTGCCTCTATCTTAATATTATCCATAGTTTAAGGAATAAAACTTAATTATGCATTTATTCAGATCAAGATTTAAAGATCATATAGCAATTGTCTTATGACATGATTTCATAAAAATATATTCTTAGTTATGCTAATAAAATATAAAAAGTTGACTAAATCTTCAATTTTTTAAGTAGCATACCTCAGGGCTCTTGAAATTTAACATTGAGCAACTTCCTTAAGGCAAGTAATTGCAAAATTCTCATAGGTTATGTCAACATAAAATATTTCATGAGATTTTTCCCCATAAAGAGTTTATACTAGCAGGCTAACATTAAATTCACCCTCATCTCGTCTCCCTTTCTTTTTCCTCACTCCATACTCACTCACATGTCTGCACCTTATCTTTTCCATCAGACATTAACTAGTTCTGTCTCTCATATTGAAAAGAAGGGCAGTGAGATGTCACATTTTTTTTTCTATTCACAAGTAAGTCCAGAATTTTATGGTGCTGAAAATGAGGACTTGAAATGAGGGTGTTCTAGAGGTCTTTCAGTGAAAAAAATCTTATCTGGTAACTGAAGAAACTGAGGCACAGAGAGTGTCAACAGTTTCTTCAAAGGTACAGCCTAATTAATAGCAGCATCAGTACTAATCTAGAGTTTGGAAGCTTGTGAATTTGAGGCATAATTGGGAATCTGCCTTTAAGAAATTAACTTTTCTGTCTAAGGTTCCTACTCAGCAAACTTGGGGAAATAACACTGTTTAGATAGGAGTTACATGAAGATGTAGAATAGAAACAATGTAAGTGTTTTCAGGAAGATATGATATGAAAAACATACTGGGGTTATGACAAATGATATAGTAAAAGTGATGATAATCATATATGTGTATATAAAACCCCATTTTAGTAAATTCCACTAAAAGATTTGAGTTCTCCCTAATGAGTCTATTTTTATGGCTCATATCAACCTCTAATAAAACTTTATTGATGATGATAGAATTCTTTAGTAAAGAGAAAATAGAACAATGAAATTACATTTTAAAGCTCATTTATTTAAAAAAAATGATTCAGGAGACGCTGCTATATACCAGGGCATTATACTGAGTACTAAGAATAGATTGGGGAGAGAATCAGATAGATCCTCTGTGTTCATGAAGCTTATAGACCAGTAAGTGACTGAATAACAACATGGTTTAAGAAGCCTATTTTTGTAGTGAAAAACCTTCTTATTTATTGTAGTCTGAAGTTATGAATGTGTGGCAAGTAGAAAAAGCTGATGCAAGTGTAGAATTATATAATATAGTTAAGTATATACATATAGACTTAGTATGAGAAAAGAATTGAATGTATCTCAAAAATTTGCATCTTCATTATACCTTGAAATTGTAATGTTTTCAATATTTTTGTGTTAAGTACAGTATTAAAATTAACTATACCTGTTTGTTTTTTAACGTTACTATAGAAGATAACATGTGGATCATAGTTTTATTAGATGCACTGCTCTAGATGATAAATATTGTGAGGCCACTGCTGTGACTTCCTTACTCATGACTGAGTCCACAGTGCTTCTTACAGTTTCCTCCCTAAGAAGGCATTTAGTAACTATTTTTTCAAGGTTAATGTATAAAATAAATAAAATGCACAGAGATCAGGAAGATTCTGCTGTTATAAAGTTTGTAGTCAGTGAAATAACATCAATGTTAGTAAAAAGTTGATGTTTGGTCTCATGAACCATGACTCCCCCATACCAATATGGTCTAATATCAACACTCAAATAAATTAGAAAATCACATTGCCCTCCCAGTACTTTAGTTTATTCATCTTCAAAGTGAAATAACATCTATTTCCTCCCTCATTCTTTAGTGATACTGTGAATAAAAGTAAAACTCTGAAAAAATATGTTTTATTAATTAGAAAGCTTAGAAAATGAGAAACTATACATATAAAAACTCTCAAGCTCTTCAGCAAAAAAAAAAAAAAAGACTTATGCACTTAATTTTGAAAAAAATGGCTGTGGTCTAGACTTTGCAGAATTAATGTATATTTGATTTGTGTAGCCTTAAAAACAGGATTGATGCTAGTCATCTCTTTGAGTAAGAAGTCTGATTTATTTTCCTCAATAAGCTGTCCATATTCTATGTAAGAGCTAATCTGTATTCTGTTGCTCTTTCCATTCTGTCGATACATCAAGGAAATCACCATTTAATCTTAATTGTTAAATTAAATCTAGCTTAATAAAATATATTAGTTTAACTTTTGGTTCTACAACTTACTTTCTATATAAACTTGAACAGAACTTCATCTTTCTCATCTTGAAGTGGAAGTGAATAATACTTATGATGATGATCATTGTTATTTTTGTTTAGCAAACATAACCCTACTAATTATTTTTTTCTTAAAATAATATTGATATTCACTCTCAGTTTCCAATCTGATGCCAAAATCAAAGAAATATACCAATCACTTTTCAGATCATTGGGGTTTAGATTCAAGTTCACAAAATAGATAATTAATTCACTGATAATAAAAAAAATCACAGGAGGCTTATAATATCAATTTTTGAATGAAAAAAGGAAATGGGGAAGCTTTTTAGATATATTTGACTATTGTTGATTAAAATGTGCATACTTATTATTCTTTGCCTGAAACTTTTATGTAACTTTTATTCTGACTCATGAACTAGATACATGGCTAAAGCTTAATGAACGCTTGTTGAACAAATAAATCAATAAAAAAAAAAAGATGTGTACATTCCCAGCCAAACTAAAATGAGAAAAAAGGGGGGAAAGTCTAAGTTGTTAGGTGTTACTGAGAATCAAGTATAGTCTGCTCTTCACTTTGAAGAGGAGAGATACCCTGAGCATCAAAGTCCTCAGGGAAAATTAAAGTTGCTTGAGGAATAAGTGAGATTTCCCAAGTCACAGACTCAAAAGTCCTTACATTCTATTTCTTTTATTTGCTTTGTGAACTTGAGCAAGTTACTTATGTCCTCTGATCCTCATTTACTCATTTGGAAAATAGGGACAGCTAATTCTTGTTATGACCATTCATTGGAAAGTTCTCTGTGAATTTTAAAGTGCAAATACACTGTATGCATTGAGTTCTCTTTTCCAGAACTAGAGCTCAATCAGGTGCACCACACAGAACCCTGAGTGTGGCTTTCTCCCCAGGAATACCTATCCATACCCACACAGTGTGATCAGTGATAGGCTGATACTTCTATTCCAAGCTGTTCTTCCTATAGGAGTTATGGGATTTTTAGCAAAGAGAATAATAATCATTTTCTGCATTGGTACACGTAAGGAGTATCTTTTTCACAGTAGCATTGGAGGTTCGTGCCTCAAGTTGTATCTGAAATCAGTCTTTTTCCAGCAAAGTTTTCAACAGCCTTCAAAAGAAAAAATAAAATAAAACATTCATCCTAATTTAGTGGAACATAAACTTTTTCCTGATGAAATTAATCAGACTAGATTACCATCCCTTTACTATTTCAATAATCTACATGTTACCTCCTCCATCTTCTCCATAAAGCACTCTTTATATTAGCATTTCCATGGTTAAGAAATAAATGACGATGTCAGAGAGCTCGGTTATCGCCCTGGTAGAAAATGGTATGGATGTCACACCTACTGTCGAGTTTAGAAGGCTCGCCAGTCACAGCTGCCACTGCCACTGCCTGTGCTAGTGCACTTATTCTTCTGTCACTTTAAATTTCTTGAGTTCAATCTGTTATACACAGTACGTGTTAGCGTTGTAACTTCATGCCAACTAAATTATCAAATGACATTTCATAAGTAAACTTATTTCTTATTTTAATAAGTAATCTTCCCAAGAGACATTCTGTACAATAAATCCAACTCAGAAGAGAATGAAATGTGGGGGCAGGGGGGACACAAAAACCTGAAAATCTTTCTTCCTCCTAAAAGAAATTTGGCTATTCTCAGTTGAAAGTGTCAAGTGAGGACCTGGGAGTGTTTCAATCCCAAATGGCGTGGCCATGCCTAATTTAATGATTATAATGGTAATATAACAATACATCATGTTAGCTAATAATTAGTGAATCCTAGGCACTATCCTAAATTATTTTCATGTGTTAACTCACTTAATAAGAACAACGACCCATCAGGCAGATGGATTTTATCCTTATTTTATAGA